GATAAACAATATCTGGATCTGATTCATCAACATAACGTGTAGATGTAACTGGATGATTTTCTGTTTCATCAGATGATTCTAAAGAGAAAAAAAAGTATTGTTTAAACGAAATAAAGTATTTTTATATTTACCAGGTGATAGTGTACGATTTGTTTCATCAGTAATTGATTGATCCTAAAATTCAGCAAGAAAAACATCCGAATAAAGTCTTTTAATTTCAGTGATGAATTAACAAACCCCAGGTTGAAGTTTTGTTGGTGTATTATCATCTCGATTATCAAAACTAACTAAAATATAAATTATTTATTCGAATAATTAGTATAATATTAAAATTGATGTACCTCGTTTACTGTTCGAACTTGCATTTGATAATGTTCGTGGATGATGATTTGGATTAGCATTACGAACTGGTCGTGAAATACTCGTTGCTGGTACACCTGAACTATTTCTTGGTAAATCTTTAGAAGAAAATATTGTCAAAAAAATAATTTTATCGTTTGTTTTTCTTCAATCTACCTGGTTTTGGTCTTTGGTCACTATCTGATCCTAAAACGTCTTGTGGTGTTAATCTTACATTCATTTCTCGTTGTTTTTCAGCAATAGTTTTATGTCCAGATACACTTTCATCTGGTAATAAAGCTAATGGTTCACGTGGATTTGTTGGAATACTTTTCGAACGTTGATTTGGTGTACGTGTCGATGATGATGGTGGTAAATATGAATAAGTCCATTTTAATGTTACATCCATTGTACCATTTTTTTCTCCACGATCATTATGCATATCAAATGTTCCACGAATTTCATTATCATGTGCTAATGATATTAATGGTATATCGGCACGTGCTGCATAACGATCATCTTTTTGATCCCGATCATCAAAAACAAATATTGTTAATTGTGATTGTTTTAAATACCGATCGAGATCAGCATCCATTTGACAAGGATATTGTATACGATCATCAAAATTTGGATTATTTGATGATGGAATTGTTATTGTATCATGATCAGTAAAATCATAAAATTTATATATACAATAAAGATCAGGTTGATGATCTACAATAAATAAAAAAAAATTAATTTATTAAACAAAAAATTAATTTTTACCAGGAGTAGCTGCTTTAACATTTGAGCAATTAAGTATAGCAATTGTTAATTCATTCATATTTGGATCAAGTTCATGTCGTTGTTCAATATCATCTGATGTTTTCGTTGATTGTCGACTCGTTGTAACAAGATAACCCTGAGCTTTCATTTTTTCTTTTAATAAACGGAATGCTTGTTCCATTGGTACACGTAAACGAACCCAATATTCAACAACACCAAATGTACCAATATCAATATTATTTTGATGAGATGCTACTAATTTAGCTGTACCATGTAATCGACCTTGATTACCTTCAATAAGTTGTTTTAAACTAAGTTTACATGCAGCAATTGTTTGAAATGATTGTCCAACTGTTTGATGAAGTTCAATTAAAGTATATTCTTTTTGTAAATAATATAAAAGAAAATCATCAACATTAACAATATATTGTGCAGTAAAATTATATTCCGGTATTTTTCCTTTTATGATTGGTGTCATTTGTAATTCATGTTCAAAAAATTCGATTGAACAGAATGTTGATGGTTCATTGTTTTTACCGAAATATTCAAGTGCACGTTCATTAAATGAAGCACGACTTATATGAATTTCAATTAAATTTTGACCACGTTCAAGTTCAATAGCATCTTCAATTAATTCATGTGTTAAATGACCATCCGTTGTTGGTTGTTCTTGAACACGATATTGACGAGTACCATAAGCAACATCTTTTAAGGCTCTAGAAAAAAAAGAAAATATTTGTTTTCTAACAAATTTTCTATTCGATAGGAACACATACTTTTCTAATTTTCGAATACGTTCAGCACGAATATCAAGTAATTGACCACTTTCAAGTACACGTGATGAGAATTCTGCATGGTTTTCATCCATTTTTCTTTGAACACAATCAACCTTGAAAATGAAAACAAAATTAAAAGTTTAATAAAAAATAAAACTAATTTCTCATACTTCAAGTTTATAATCTCGATTAATTTTATATTGCATAAATAATAAATTTCGAGTTTTTTCTAATTCATTTGCTGTTTCAGCTAATTGACTTTCTAATTCAAGTATTCGTCGATTAACATCTAGAAAAACAAATTTCAATAGAGAAATCTTTTGCTGTCGTTCGATTTAATTACTTTTTGCTTTTTCATCATCAACTTTTAGTAGAAAATCAAAATTTGGTTCTTGTCGTTGTTTACGTTGACGTAATATAATAAGTGCTTCTTCAATTTCTTTCATATTTATATCACTTTCCTAATAAGAAATTAAAAATAAAACATTTCATTCGAAAAATAAAACAAACTCGTTCAAAAAATTTCATTTTTTCAGCTAAATCATCATATTTTTCTTTCATTTCTAAATATTTTAAATGCATTGTACGATGTTCATCATCAGTTCTTTGATTAGAATCTGTAAAATCAAAATATTTGTATATATTCTTTTCTTTTTTTTTAAAAAAATTTTGTTACTTTTTTCTAATGTAAGTTTATCAAGTAGATTTCCTCGTTCACCTAAATCTGCTTTGATTGTTGCTTCAAGTTGAGCTATTTGTAATCTTAATGCTCGTTCTTTTTCGCGAAATTCTCTTTCACGATCAGCATTAAATGCTGAACTAACCAATTTAGAATTAGCTTCTTTTAATAATTCACATTCACGTCGGAAATCTTCAATTTGTGCATTGAGCTAAAAAAAAACAAATCATTTTATTCAGTTTATTTCAACGAAAATTATTATTTTACTTCATGAATAACTGTATTTGAACGTGAACCATTTCTTAATTCAGTACGTAATTGTAATGCTCGTGATTGTTCATCTTTGATTTGTCTATCAAGTCGATCAATTTCTTTTAATAATTCGGCATTTGTTAATTGAAGTGATCGATTTTGCTAAATAATAAATATATGTTCATATTTAATAAAAATATTAAATTCTTTAACAAACTGATTCAAATGTTGTACATTGAGTTTGTAAACGTCTTAATTCATCAGATTTATCACGTAAATCTCGTTGTAAACGAATCATATCAATATTTTCTTGTAAATTAACACGTGAATCACCACCTGTTGTTGTTACTGCTTGTGATCTTAAACGTAATAAATTTTGTTCATGTTCATTATCACGTTGTGATAATTGTTGACGAAGATGTTCTATTTGTTGTTCATAGGAATTTAATTGTTGATTCGCTTTATCAAGAGAATCTTCTCTAAAGAAAAAAAAGTTAAAAGTCGATTTCATTTTCTTTTGTTTTAAAATAAAATAAATATTTACAATTGTTTATTTGTCATTCGAGCATCTTCTAACAATCCGCTGTTTACTCTTGGAGTTGTTCCAGATGTTCTACAAAAGAAATAAATACGATTGCTTTATATGTTAGAAAATAAACTTTAAACTAAAGTGAACATTTTCTATGTTACACATGGATTTTTTTTAATATTTTGCAACGCTTCCGGTAGGATATGCAGAAAAAGTCATGTTTTTATGTATACATATGTCATATCTCGAAGGTTAAAATAATATAATAACCTGAATGAATCCCGTGGGCCAATTACACGAACATTATGAAGTAATGGTGATGGTATACGTTTTGATTGACCCTTAAAATATTTTCAATAATAAAATTGAATAAATTCCAAAAATGAATTTACTGTATCGATTCTTGAAGAAACACTATCGTACATAACATTTGATTTTTTCATTTGTTGTGCTGCTTGTGCTTGTTGTTGAGAAAGAACAACACGTTGTTTAAGCAATTTATTTTGTTCACGTAATTCAGAAATTTTATTACGATATTCAGCAAGTTGATTTTCAATTTCAGCATCACGGATACCTGATTTAGCACCTATTTGTTTTTTTTCATAATGAAATAAATTTATTGAATTTTTAAAAAATATTTATCTACCGAATGGAACAGCTTCACTTTTCTTTTTATCTCCAACAACTTTCGTTAATTTAGTAGCTAATCTAGAGAAAGAAAAAGAATATAAAAATAATCAATTGTAGATTTTGTTTTTACTTTTTAATTTGATCTTCTTGTTTTCGAGCATGTTGTTTAAGAACTAAATGATCATCATATAAACGTAAATATCGATCTTGAAGTTCAGCTGGATCAAGTTTTGCAATCATTTGACGTTCACTTGATATTCGTTTGGCTTGACCTAAAATATTCAAATATTAATCAATTCTTTTTTATTTGAAAACTACCTTGAGGTTGATCAAGGCCGGATAAAGTCGTTGTATCTCGTGCCGGAGTGAAATCCATCACTAGTTGTCTTATTTATCTATTGTACAGATATTTTTTCATTAAAAGAAAAGATTTTCTAGTAAAGCTTAATTAATCTTCTTTGAAAAACACGATCTGTAAATAATTCAAATAAAACATTCTAGTAATCCTATGATAAATACCATAGTAGTGTTCGAAATACGTTATGTTACTAGGATATGTTACTCACATACAATAGAAATTGATAATTTTATCAATAGATGGCGTGATTGTGCAAAACAAAAAGTTGAAGAAAAGCAATTGATGCCGTGTTTACAGAATATTTAAATAAAAGTTTCAATGAATTACTGAACAATTAGCAATACTTCTTTTCTTTCATTTGTTTTTTTCAGGTCACAGACAAAACCAGTAGGTTCATCGTACTTATTGTCTAAGTTCTTTCCATTGAATATATATTCAATGAGTATTACCGGATATTGATAGTATACTGTAAAGTCAGTCGGTATTATTCAGGAAAAAAAGAATAATAACAGTTCCATCTTTATTTTATAAGAATTTGTCGATTAGTCTCATCTAATATTTATTATGAAAAATAACCAAACATGTATTAAATACAATCTAATATACATTTCTTTGTTATATATGTTAGTACGAATTCTATACATTCGTTCACTGATTTAAGCATTCGTCGGTTCGCTTTGCCATCGAATGACGACGTGTATTCAAAGTAGAAAACTGTCCAAGTATGAAACAAATAATCGCACACACACACACACACACACGCACACACAAAGACAAAAAATACATTTAGAACTAATTAAAGATAACCCTATGTGCAAAAACAAAAAGCGACCATTAGCATATCAATGAACAAGAAAGAAAAAAAGAGAAAGTTATTATGATTCATGTTTTGTAGTCGTCTCTGATGAGGATGATGATGATGATGATTGTGATCGTTCTTCACTTTTTTCTGCTATTACCGATTGATGATTTGTATTCGATCCATTAGCAATAGATAAAGATGTTTCACGAAGTTCATCAAGTGGATTAGTAAAAGCATCATCAAGACCAGCCATAGTTATTAATTCACCCAAACTATAAAACAAAATGAGATAGAGAAATATTCTATCAAGTAGTGTATAAAAGATATGTACCGTTTTGATCGAAGAAAATCAAGAAACTTTTGAAATTTTTGAAATGTGTTTTCTACTACTGCACAAAAATGATCTTGTTGTCGTTGTGCTAAATCATTTTTTGCTAAAATCTAAACAAGAAATTATATGAGTAAACATTCATCATTTTCTTTTCTTACCTGTTGAAGTTGTTCTTCTAATTGTTTTTTCGCTTGTCGTTCTTCACGTAATTTATTTTCTAATCGTTGTATACGACTCTATAAAAAAAGGAATTTTTATATCTAATATTTCATATAAAATAACATACATTTGAATTTTCTTTCATCTGTTGTTGTTGAAATTCACCACCGCCAACGCCACCACCACCACCTCCAGCACCATAAATCGATTCTTCTGATGAATGAAAGGCACGTGTTGGTAATCTAGGTGGAAATCCACTAAAAACAAAGACAAGTGAGTAATTAAATGAGTTTTAAGTATTAAGAAACATACGGAAGACGAGCTGCACGAGCAGCAGTTCTCCATGGTATTCCATCACTTCGTGGTTCAGTTGAAACTGACCCAGTTGATTTACTACGTTGTAATTTCGTTGGATCAATAGGTGTTCTAGGATGAAAATGAACTGGTTGATTAGCACCTGCTGTTGTTGTTGCTGTTCGAGCAATTTTCGATCGTGGGCGTCGAGGAGATTCAAGTTTTAACCATTTATACTATTAGAAAAAAAGATATATTTTAAAGAAAAATATTTTACACTAAATACAAACTTCACATAAACGATCATCTTCACAATTGACTAATAATTGTTCAATTAATTTTTCCATAATATCACGATCAACAAGTGGATTATTACGTATATCAATGATATGTATAAGACTATTATAATTAGCTGCATTTAAAAATTCCTTAGCACCATTTGTTGATATTGCGCAATCCTGGAGATCGAGAGCTTAAAATAAAAATAAAAGTAATTGAGATTTATGCCATTAGTTAATCAAATGTTATTATACATTGTTTCCATTAGGCTAGCAATATGCAAAGCAATTTTATTAACTTCCGACTGACTCTATTAATTCTTTTATAGACGAAAAATACTTCCGATTATTTATATAAACGAAAAACAATTACTTAGAAGAAAAAAAAGTAATAATTTTAGTATAAAAGAGTTGATAAATAATATATATATATGTATGTATTCTTTAATCAAATTGATTAAAAAGCTTACCTTTAATCCAAAGATCAGCTTCGATAACTTCAGCTAAAAATGTTGCACCTCGATCCGCAATTAATGGATTTCTATTAAGTGTAACACGTCGTAAACCAGACATATGATCAAGCATAGGATTTTGATATGGTAAACTTTCTTTTTGTTGATGACGAAGACTTTCCTTCCAAACATCAGTATGTCGTCGATTTCCTTGTTGCTATAAAAGATCAAAAACAATTCTCTAGTTGATCAAACTTGACTTAATCGTCATCATCTTCCTGTTCTTTATAAAATAAAGAAAAAAACTTCATCGACTGATCTCACTTGTCATGCAATGCAATGAAATGAACACGCAACAACAACGTTTCAATAATTACCCCGATTTCTTTTTTTTGTTCCTGTCAGATGTGTTTCTTTTTTCTTCGTTCAATTCATTTCTCTCTTCTTATTCTAGTCACATCATAATGAACAATCAGACAATGTCATTGCTACCATCTGAATTATTCTTTTCCATGGGTCGTTTAGCTGCGATATTTAGTCTTTTATTTATTGTTCTACTTATATTAATCATCATATTTCTTTTGTTTTTTCAACAACGAAATACAAGTGTATTTGATGAACATGAATTAATAAGTGAAAGTGATGCAACAATAATAGAAAATAAATCATTAGAACTTGCAAATATTAAACAATATGCATCCATGAATAATAATAATCAATCAATGATAATGACAACATCAATCAATTCTTATCCATCAGAAAATGATGAAGATCTAACTCGATCAACAATAAATTTAATAACATCAAAATAATTTTATAAACTTCTATTTATGTCTTATGTAAATCGCTCTTTTCTTTTGTGTCTAAATATAATGAACGCTTACTCTAATAAGATCAGCTATAATATGTGCTCCTTGACTGGTAAGTGAACAAGCTGAAAAATCTACTTCACGAATTTTTGGTGCTTGATTTAAATGTCGACAAAGAACTAGAAAGAATAAAAGGTATTTCCAAAAAAAAGCAATTAAATTTTTCTTACTATCAAGTCCTTCGTCACCAATTGAACTATTTGTTAAACGAAAATGAATAAGTGATTTACATTTGGCAATACCCTTTAGATAATAAAATAGATTAATTGAATAATAAATTAATTATTTTGTACCTGAGCTAAAATCGTTAAATCTTTACGTCGAAATGGAAGACCATCAAGTTCAAGAAGGACAAGTTCAGTTGTTATTAAAAGACTATCTTTAATATGTGTACAAATTTTTGAAAGTAATTCTTTTGATTGAAATATTGGTGGACGTTTTGAAGCTGATGAAGCTCGTTTTAATGTTCGTCGTTCGGCTGATTTCAAAATAACAAAAAAAATAAATATTCTATTTTTATTATAAAAGAAATAAACCTTCAGCAAAATTATTCGATGATGAATTATAATATTGACTACGTAATGTAAGCGAACGAAGTGTTTTACATGTTCCAATAGCAGAACATAATGGTGTCCAATCATCAAATCTATTTTAGAAATATTTATTGTTAAGAATAGAAAATAATAAATGAATATATATATATACCGAAGAGTATCTGTATCTAAATCAATAATTCCTGAGTCAAGTTTAATTTTGACACTTGACAATGGTAATAAATGATATTGACGACAATAATCATCATATTTAGCACTGAAATCACATGGAACATCTGAAGCTGTTTTTGATATCGGATCTACTCGCATGATTCTAGATTTTTTTCGTGAGAAATTAATTTAATAATCAAAGAACATAACTGTCTTCTAGAAAAAAGAAATGAATGATATTGTTTCTTTTTGCGGTTAATGCTGACTGGATGAGTAGAACAAGGCACCAGCTTAACCATGTCGCTAAGTAAATGTCCTCGATATTGTCTAAGAATTTTTTTTTAATTATTTAATTGAAGTTTATAGGTTTTTTTATTTCAATATAATTATGTTCTTTATAAAAACAAATTATTTAAATATATTAATTACATATAGATGTCGTGGTTATTTTAATCCTTTTTTTTTATTTTTATAAAAAATATATGATCGATGTACGTCGCCGATGCTATTTTTGTCAAAAGGTATAATTGTTTTCGCAATAACGTGAAAGAAAAAAAAAAAAACATCGTATGTACTTTACGTTTTCTTGCACCATCAACTGTCAATACTGCAATATTTCTTAACTATGAATAAATCTACTCGCATTTCTGTTTGTCTTTCTTTCTCGTTATTGTGCAATACTTTTATTATCTAACTTCGAGCTTGCATGTGAAATATTTTCATTTAAATACATCATACATTTTTCTTTTACACTCTTATTTTTACAAAATAACGTTTACTGTAATACAATATTGAGCAAGAAGTATAATGGCTGACGCAAAGAAGCCATCAACGGCATCCTCATTATTGTCAACTACAAATTCTCTGTTATCAACAAAGAATACAGCTCTTACCGGTAGTTCCTTATTTCAAGGTTCGAGTCTTTTAACAGTGAATACAACAAGTTCATTACTATCAGGAACAGGTACAAATAAACAAACGAGCCTTTTCTCATCATCAACTTTAACAAGTGCTCCTCCTAAATCATCACTTACTTCATTTTCATTAAGTACTGCACCTAAACCATCACTCTCCTCATTCTCATTAACTAGTCCCCTTCATTCATCATCATTTCTCTCCACTACGAAATTACCTACTAGTAATACATTGTTTTCATCATTCAATACAAATAATGCATCATCGTTAACAACTGATACAAGTTTAAGTCGAAAACGTAAAGCTGAACCTTTAGAATCGACTCAAGAAACTCTTAAAAATTCTGTATTAACATCAACAACAATAGATACAAGTTCAAATATTATACTTTCAAATGAAAATGAATGTAAATATAATATTGAAAATATCAAACCACTTGATTCAAAATCAATTCATCTTGGTGTTAATTTACATTGTCATGTTCCAGCACCAAAACGTCCTCGTATGGATCCATTTAGTTCGATTTTTACTCGACTTGAAAATACAACAGATGATGATTTTAATGTTGGAATTAAATCAATTAAGGTTTGATATTAATTATTTATTTTTTTTAAAGGAAATTTATTCTTTTCTTTGTAGAAAAGTCTTTTAAATTCACTTGCTGATTCATTATTAAGTCAACCTGATTTACGAAAAGCAACAGATCAAAAACGAAGTGAACTTATTCGTCTTGCTAATTTAGTTGTTGATCAAGATCCAGAATTTATCTTAAAAGTAAACATTAAAACTATTTTCTTCAATAAAATTAAATACATATATTTTATTTAGGCTGCTCTTTATACACGTAATCATTTAAATATACGTATAACAGCTAATTTTCTCGTTGCATATGCTGCATATACCGATTCATGTCGTATATTTTTAAAGAAATATTTTAAAACTATTGTTAATTTACCATCAGATTGGATTGAAATAGCTGAACTTTATCAAACATTTTTTGATAAACGTATACATTTTGGTTCATTACCATCAGCATTACGTCGTGTTATGATAAAGAAATTTCCTGATTTTGATAAATATCAACTTGCAAAATATAATAAAGAAAAAGCTCGATTAAAAAAAGCGAAGAAAGCTAATGCAGCTCAAGGTACAACAAGCGGTGGTACTCGAGGAAGAGGTGGTGCTTCATCTGGACGTGGTGGTCGAGGTCGTGGGTCATTTCGTGGAGGACGCGGTGGACGTGGAGCAAGTCGAGCATCATCAACCGATTCAAATATGAGTACTACAACAGATGAACCAACATTAGATAAAGCCGCAAGAAAAAATATGACAAAAATTAATGAAGAAGATCGTGAAACACGACGAATGGCGTTTACATTAAAACGATTAATTCGTCAATTACATATAAGTGAACCTGTTGAACATGTTTGGTGTTTACTTGGTAAACGATATCCAGAAACATCTGAACAATTTTATTTATCACGTTTACCTGGTGTATTCGAAGGTGAACGTGCAAATAAACGTATGAAATTACCAACACCAGAAACGTAAATAAAATATTTGTTTTCTCTTAGATTTAATTTCATATTTATTCTATTTCTAAATAGGTGGGAAACACAAATTAGTTTGAAAGGAAATAAAGCTGCAGTTTGGCAACAATTAATTGATAATAAAAAACTTCCATTCATGGCTATGTTAAGAAATTTACGAAATATGATTAAAGCTGGTAAATATTATTAAAATTCATTATTTATAATCTCGTTTTTTTTTCTTCTTCTAAAGGTATCGATGAAAAACATCATCAATGGGTATTAAAAAAACTTTCAGACGAAGGTGCTGTTACATATAGTCGACAATTTCCATTTCGTTTCTTTTCCGCATATCAAGTCTTAGATGAACTTGAGGAAGAATTTAATAATTGGTGTTCAGCAAAAGAAACAGTTGGTACATTACCCGATGAAAAAAAACGATTAACAAAAGAACAAAAAGACAAAAAATCTCGTTTAACACCGTCAGAAAAAGCAAAAAAACTAGCTTCAAAAGAAATGCCTTATGATCTTGCACTTTTACAACGTTATAGAAAAGCATTGGATTGTTCAGTTAAAATCGCTACTCAACATAATTGTCAACCAATTCCTGGTCGAACATTTGTTTTTTGTAATTTAAGTGATGCAATGTCACAACCATGTCAAGCAGCTAGAGGTTTAGGTAAACCACGAACACGTGCTGAAATCGGTCTTCTAATGGGTTTAATGTGTAAATCAGCATGTGAATCAAGTCGATTAATTGTTTATAAAACAAAAGATAGTTTTAATGAAATTGAACAAACACCACAACAAACAATACTCAATCAAATGACAAAAATTTTAACAAATACCGAATTTCAAGCTTCATCATCAGACGTCTGTATACCACCAGCATTTCTTACGAATATGATTGCTGAAAAACAATGGTTTGATAATATGTAAGTAATTAAAGAAATAAGAATAAAAAAATTGCATAATTTACTTTTTTTTTCTAGTATTATTGTTTCTGATGGATTGAAATCTGATACAGCTGAATCTGACTTTGTTTATCGATTTCTTTCACTTTATCGTTATTTAGTTAATTCTGAACTTATGTTTGTTAGTATTGATTTGAGTATAAGTCAATGTTCATTAACAAAATCCGATCGATTTAATAATCGAAATGATATATTTCTAAGTGGTTTTTCGGATTCAATCTTACAATTTATTGCTGAACGTGGAAATGATGGACAATTATTACATGTTGAAAATATTGATAATGCACATAATCTTAATAAAATAGCTGATATTAAAAATGATACACAAACCGAACAATCAAACTCTCAACAAACAAAACTATCTTCTAGAACACCTATAACAACATTAGTACCACGTTGGCGAACTGTACGTGTATTTATATCATCAACATTTAAAGATATGCATGCAGAACGTGATCTTCTTACACGTTATGTTTTTCCTGAATTACGTCAACGAGCTAAAAGTCTTTTTGTTAATCTCTATCAAACAGATCTTCGATGGGGTATTGCAGAAAGTCAAACAAAACAATCAGTTTATCTATGTCTTAATGAAGTTTGTCGTAGTGATTATTTTATTGGTTTAATTGGTGAACGTTATGGTTATGTACCTACATCATATGATGTACCAAAAGATGATCCACGATTTACATGGTTAAAAAAAGTACCACTTGGACGCAGTATAACAGATTTAGAAGTACAAGCTGGTGCATTTCATTCATCAACAATAAAACAAAATCGAGCATTTTTTTATTTTCGTGATCCAAAATTTCTTCAAAATGTTCATAAACCATGGTCGGATGATTTTCTTTCGGAAAATGATGATTCAAAAATAAAAGTCAGTCAATTAAAACAACATATACGTTCAAGTGGTTTTGAAACATTCGATGGTTATCCATGTACGTGGCAAGGTGTAGCAAATGATCGACCACTTGTTACTGATCTTGATGAATTTGCACAACGTGTTATTGATAATTTATGGACATCATTACAAGAAGAATATAAACCTGAATATGTCCTATTAGATGACAATGAAATTGAAGATAATCAACATAAACAATATCGTATATCATTTATGGAACATTTTGTTAGTCGAACTAAAGTTCTTCAAGATACAATTAAATCTATTGGTACATCATCCGTTATTCTTCTTACCGGACAACAAGGTTCAGGTAAAACAGCTGCTATTGCCGCCATAGCAAATAAAATATTATCGAATGTAAACACAAATGTTAAATTATATGAACATTATGTTGGTATAACACGTTCATCATCAAATAGTATTTCAATGCTTCGTCGTTTACTTTGTCAAATAATAAATGATCATTCGGAATTACAAAATCAATTTCCAATTGATCAAATTCGTTCAAGTAATTATACAGATCTATGTAAAATCTTATCCGATGTATTTCTTATGAGAAAAAATTCATCAAATATTGTTATATGTATTGATGGTATTGAATTACTTGATAATGATACATTAGTTCAAACATTAAATTTTATACCAAAAGATTTTAATTTTGATAAAATAACATTTATACTTACAGCTACAGAAGATAGTATTGTTGAACAAGCATGTAAAAAACTGTCGAATTTATTAACAATTAATTTAACAAATCTTGAATTACTCGAACGTAGTGAAATTGTTCGTAAACATCTTGATCGTTTTGGTAAGAAATTAGATGAACAAGCATTTTCATCACAAATGAAATTTATTACAAGTAAACGTGATTCATTTAAACCATCATATTTAACATTAATATGTGAAGAATTATTATTAATGACAGATTATGAAAAGAAAATAACGGAAAAATTAAAATTAATACCACAAAAACAAAATTTATTTTTATTAGAAATTTTCAAACGATTAGATGTATTATTTGGTGAAAAATATGTTGCAACTGTATTTGGATTAATTTATCTAGCACGTCAAGATTTAACTGAACAAGAATTACGTGATTTAATGAATATTTCATTTGGAACAGTTAAAACTTTACCACCACCTGAAAATTATACATATCCAATAACAACTACACCTTTACAATTAGCTGATTTTACTTATAATTGTCATATTTTGTTAAAACCACAATTATATGATGGACCACAGACAGTTTCAATAGCATCAAATGAAATTCGTCAAATAATTAAAACACGTTATTTACGTTCAAATGATCAACAACTTCATTTATATAAACTTCTTGCTTTCTATTATTGGTGTGAAGCAACTGGATCGAATTGGACATCCATGAATGTTAAAGCATTTGAACATTTACCTTTTTATTTATATACTGGTGATGAATTTAAATTATATTCAACAATATTAACTGATCTGAAATTTATTGCGGGTAAATGTCGTGTTGGTCTTGTACAATCATTAATTGATGATTATGAATTAATTAATACTACTTCATCAATCGCTGTAACTAATACACACACAAGTTTATTTAATAGAGCAAAAAAACCATTAGTAACAAGTACAAAAGATCGACAAACTAGTGAAATAATTCTTCAACAATATCGTTCGTTTATACAACGAAATAGTCATATTTTAGCTGTTAATCCATCATTAATCTATCAACAGGCATTGAATGAATTAGAAACAAGTCCTGTTTTTGATAATATACAACAAATACTTTCAAATCAACAAGAAAATTCTATTAATAATGAAAATCAAATAACAGCATTTGTTCGTATTAATAAACCAGAAAATATGGAACAAATGAAATATTCAATTGAAGGTTTTACAGAACCTATTCGATGTTTAGCAGTATCACCATCAGGTCTTTATTTAGCTGCTGGTTCTGCTGATTGTTTAATTCGTCTTTATAATACGTCAACATCTCGTCTATTAAAATTATTTGTTGGTCATGCTGCACCTATCAGTGCATTATGTTTTGTTGGTAATGATCATTTAGCAAGTGGTAGTAATGATGGTGGTTTATCCGTATGGGATGTAGCAAATGGTCATCGTTTACATATACTTACACCAAAACATGATAAACGAGTTTCAGAATTAAGTTCAAATCAACGTGGTACACAATTTGCATCTGTTTCATGGGATTCATATGTACGTATATGGGATTTACAAAAAGCTCGAAAAGAAACAGAAATTCATTTACATCCAAAACCTGTATCAAGTGTTGCATTTCATCCTGATGGTTTTATGTTAGTAACTGGTTGTTGGGATGGTATTGTTCGTCAATGGAATGTAACTAGTGGACAACGTAAATCAGTTATGCGTGGACATTTAAGTTCAATAAAAACTGTTGCTTATTCTGCTGATGGTCGTTACATAGCATCATGTTCAATAGATGGTGAATGTCGTTTATGGAATGCATTAGTTGGTAGTCAAGTTGGTGTTATATCAGCACGTATTAGTTCAATTTATTTTTCACCTAGTGGATCAGAATTAGCATCAGCCGGTAATGACGGTCGTGTTCGAGTATTTTCATCAACAATTGGTCAATGTCAAATGATTATTCAAGAACAAGCATGGGGTGCTGTATCAAGTATTGTAATTCATCCTGAAGGAGAATATATTATTGCTGGATATCATTCAGGTTCATTAAGAATATTTGATATACAAAATGGTACAAGTGAACAAGAATTTCATTATCATAAAGGACGTATTAATCGTCTTCAACTTTCTTCATCTGGAACAACTTTAATTTCAGCATCTAATGATAGTTTCTCACGAATATTTGATATTAAAGATTTAGGAAAACGAAATGATATGCGTATTCAAACAACAATACTTAAAGGTCATACAGCAGCTGTTCTTTCATGTGCTATGAATAAATTAAATATGATTGCAACAGGATCTGAAGATGCAACAATATGTTTTTATAAACCATCGAAATTATTTGAACAATCATCACTTGATCCAAATGAAATTTTAACACAGCATCGTACACCTGTAACTGGTTTAACATTTAATAATGAAACACGACAATTATTATCAGCTAGTCGTGATGGTCAAGTACATATATGGAATATAAGTCAATATGCATCAACATCTATGGTAACACTTACAAATACACTTGCACATTGTCATGCTGATTGGATAAATGATATTGCATTATCAAATACAAATAATGGTTTACTTGCAACAGCATCAAATGATAATACATTAAAAATATGGAATACAATACCAAAAAAAATACAACAAGATAATGAAGATAATGATACAATGGATATTATGTCTTCTAATACAGAAGAAGCTCGTGTAACACTTCGTGGTCATCAAGGATCTGTTAATACAGTTTGTTTTTCATATGGATGTATAGTATCAGGTTCATTAGATAAAACTATACGAGTATGGTCACATAAAGGAACAGAAATAACATGTTTACGTGGTCATACAGAAAAAATAACTTCATGTGATCTATGGGTTAAATTTAAAGGTGTAACTACAAAAACTGAAAACGATACAGACAATAAATGGTCAAATGCAGTTGATGAACAAGAAGTTGAACTTTCACGATCAACACATACAATTGATAAAATGCTTGTTGTTAGTGCATCTGAAGATAATTCAATACGTATCTGGCGACCAACTGATCCTGAACAACGTTGTGTTTATGATGCACATGCTCAACCATTAAATGATATTGTTGTTAGTAATGAATCAATTGTAACATCATCACTTGATAAAACACTTCGTTCATGGCAAATTCCAACTAATGTATTTCAACATAATAATTCAACAACATCAGCAATGACACCACAAATCGTTGAACCAGATAGTCATTTAGATGAAATTACATCAATTGCTGTTTCTCGTGATAATTCACTTGTTTTTACTGTTTCACGTGATGCATATTTATTTATTTGGTCATTAATATCCGAACAAAATGATGATTATGATATGGATACAAATATAAATAAAACTAAAATGTCAAAACAACCATTTCGTATAATACAATCAATAAAAGCACATGATGAAACCATACTTGGTATGGGTTTAATTCGTTCAGATCATGAAAATCATACACTTGTTACTGGTTCAGTTGATAAAAATATTAAAATTTGGACAATTTCACATAAACAAATGCAAAATAAATGTTCAATAAAACGTTTAAGAACTGATACAACAGTAAATGGACCTGTTTCATTTATTTCCGGTCAATATGATATGCCATATTTTGTTGTTGGTGAAAATCAATCATTTGATTCACTTACATTCCATCTCTATTCATCAACTACACTTCAACGTTTAAAAACATATCAAACTCAAACATGTCATTGGCCATTATCATCAATATTAACATTAAATGAACAGAAACATTGTATACTAACAATTGGTTCAACAAGTAATGAATTATGTTCATATGATTTATCATTAATTGATACAACAGATAGTAAATTATATGTATCATATGCATCAACAATTGAATATATAACATCATTTCCATCTGAATGGATAACATCAATAGAAAATCTTGATGATAATAAAGTATTTTACTTAGGTACATCAAATGGAAATATTTATTCAACAACAAATTTATTTACTGATATAAATACATGGAATAAAAATCAATTATCATCAAAGCAACGATCAATTACAGGATTATGTTCAATTAATAATGAATTTATATTTACAAGTGGTTTTGATAATGTCATACGAGTACAATATAGAACTGATCATACAAATAATATGAATGATGATAATGATGATGAACAAGAAGAAAAAAGTGAAATTCTAGGACAATATCCAGTACCAGCACCAATTACACAAATGCGTACATGGAAACAAAAGAATAATGGAACTTTTGGTGTTGTAGCCGGTGATACATTAGGAAATCTTTATTTAGTACAATGGTATTCGTCCTAATCGTGATCAAACAATTTTCTCTGATACTTCATTATAGTTCTTTTTTTTCATATTTGTAGTATACTGACATATATAATTACTCCTTCAGTGACATATATTTTGTTTTAAATAAAAAATAACACAAAAAAATCTACATATATTGTTGATAATTACAGGACGGGGGTGGGTGAGTGTAGGTGTGTTCAGTTTTAGATATTCCCACACTCTCATCCTCAAGTTTTTTGTCGGCAAAATGAACCTGTCGGCAAAGAGTAACTTTCGGCAAAACAATCTTTCGACTAAGTGGCGTCGGCAAAGTGTAGGGGACCCGATAATTATAATGATATTCGATACTTCATATAAAATGAGCTTTACTAACCTATTGTTACCTCCCTGTCGGAAGTTGTATATCGCAAGAAATCTTTGTTTTCAATACAAGATATAAAAACAATTTGATAATAATGAAATATTAATAGTTTTTTGCGCAGTATATACAATTTCATGTCGCTTCGATTAAAACTTTTTTTTATATGATTATAAATCTTATTCCTAATGAAGAATCTCGAGAAATAAATTCTTCAAAATCAATAAAACAAGATTATTTAATTGTAAATCAAGTTTCTGATCAACTTCATGTAGCTCAACAGGAAATAAATAATTTACGTCTTTTAAATGTTTGTCTTCAATCGACATTACTTCGTGTACAAACTCAATTAATTGAATATATACCATTAAATATTCATGATGAAATTAAACGAAATAATACGAAACAAACATTAGCTTTATTACGTCATACAGATGATCATACTCGACAAGTTATTCATCATCAACAAGTATCTTTTTCTCAATTGTATGAAAATTTTCAAAATTTATTTCAAACTAAACAACAAGAACAAATAAATCTTAAACATACATCATCATCATTCTTAAAAAATGAAAAACAAATTGATATTTTACATGAAATGTTTCATGAACTTAATACAATAATACATACAGAACATAATGATAGAATTAGTCAACTTTATATAACATTAGCACAAACATCTCAATCTGTAAATAAAACACAAGAAAGTAATTCGGTTTTTTCTTGAAATCAAACAAATAAATTTTCGTTTTCTAGTTATTGATAATACAATTTATGTACATAGAGTTATAACGAAGAGAAAAATAAAACGAAAACTTTTTTTTCTATTAATTATTTTTATTTCAATAATTTTATGTATTATAATTCTATCTATATAAATATATTAAGAATTTCGATACATTTTTATTAATTGTATAATATTTGCAATTACACTAAGAAGAATAAGAATAATACCAATAATTACAATGATAAATTCATCAAACATTTTCTTCTAATACGCGCGTTTTCTTATCTTGCTATATATGATAAACCTTTACGAGTGAATACAATTCGTGTTGACGGATATGGATAGACGGAATAATGAACAACTAAATAAAATTATATATTTAAGATGAATGAAATTTAAAACAATTTTACGTGTTATATTAGTTAAAATAAGAAGCCATTTTTCTTTTTCATGTGATATGTGAAACTAAAGAAATTGAGTTTTTTTTTTTCGTTTGAAAAATTTAATTAAAATTTTAACTTACACGAAAACCAACTGGATGATTAAAATGTCCAGCATATAAACGAACAAATTCTTCTGCTAGTTTAGGTAATGAATGTTTTCTAGATCGATAAAAATAATTAATAAAACGACGAAATAAACTTGTTCTAAACATTTAATTTATAAATCATAGAATTAATTCAAAAGAAATTTGCGTTTTTTTCCTACTTCCGATGTACTGATAACCAAATCTCAGAGAGCCATGGTTGATCAGTAGTTGATACAGGAATAAAATTATCATCATATAATTGATTATGAGAATTTGTTGTTAGAGATTCCTCATGAACAATATTATCTATAGAAGAATAATAAGAAAATGGATACGAGGGAATCACCGGTGGTATCAAAAAGCTTTTCAACTCAAATTTTGTCCATATTTAGAGGGGGGGGGGGAATTTTGTTTTGGAAAAATTCTACACCTCTGGAGTATATAGACTAGAAAAAGTCTAAGAGGATGTGTGCGCAAGTTGAGATCTCGAATTTTTACTACAATAGCTCATCCAAAAAAATTCTGAAACTGTATGAATGACCTACTGTAGTAAAAACTCGAGATCTCAACTTGCGCGCATATCCTCTTAGACTTTTCCTAATCTATATATATTCCCTAATTATAGACAAAAGTTATTTACAAAGTTTTTGTTCTTCCGTAGGATCACATTCATCTTTGAATTGTTCGACACAATCGAAATAAACATCTATTATATAGAATATAGAAAAAAAATATGTTGTATTAAATTGAACTATTAAACAAACCGGTTTCATAACTAATTTGATCATCATCTAGAAAATAAATAAATAAAAAGTTTTTTTTTGAAATAAATGATATTAACCATTATAATTATCAAGCCATTGTTGTAAAAGATCTGCACAATGATTAATTTCTTGTTTTTGATATTCAATGGAAAATTTTTCATGTGATGGATAATTACGATAAATTGCTAATTGATTATTTTGTTCACCTTGAATAATTTCAAATGAAAAGATACAAACACATCATATTTCTTCTTTTATATTATTCATGCATATTCTATTTTTTTTGTTCTACATACTTACAATACATATTGAAAATAAATGAGATCAGAAGATATTATTATCTTTTACATATTCTAGACATTATCAAATACACGTACACACATATTGTAAATCATGTTCTATTGTTTATCATTATGATTCTGACATATGAACATTCATTCTCTTGTCTTTCTCTTATATAAAAATAAATAAAACTTTAGTAAATTTTCTATTTTTTTTATTTATTCATTCAAATCGAGTTTTTATCTAGAAAAGAATTACTCAATGTAGGTGAAAGTTTTTCTATTTCGCTTTGTTCATCATCATAATCATCTATTATTGATATTTCTTTAAAACTAGAACTTCTAAATGATTTGATTGTTTCTAATTTTCTAAATCTCTTCTTAAGTAGACTAGTTTCATCCGCTGATTTTTGTCGTGGAAGATTTTCATAATAACTAGATTCCGTTAAATATTTAGAATAGAAAGATACTGAATTAATTGGTGAACTAGGTGTTGTTGAAGTATTGTCTGCTTCTTCTTGTTCTTCATAATTCCAAATTGGATAAGCATAAACCAGTTTAACATCATTGAATTTTGCAAAATCAAATCCACTTAATGTTGATTGACATGTTGAAAATTGAAAACCCCATACAAGTTCATTCGGTAAATAAGATGTGCGAAAATGACATGAAAATCCAGTGTAATCAAAACTACCTTCAATAATAGCAATGATTTCAAAATGTTCTTTATCGACTGTGTCTCGTTGAACACCATACAGAGGACTACGAGAATTAATAATATGTTCAACAACAATTGGTCGTGGGAAAAATAATTGACCATTACGAAGATGTGATATTTCCATATCATATATATGATGAGGAATAATTTCACCTTCAAGTGTTCGTCGTTTACGTATCATTAATAAACGAACACCAGCAAAAATTAATTGAGAAGCAGATAAATTACCTAGATAAAAAAAATTAAATTTTTATTTAAGATTTTCAGCATATATTTTATTGATAATACCTATTCGAAATGTCATAGTTAATAGTTTACCTCGTGGTACAATAAGTGCTTTATCACTGAACACAACAAATTGTGATTTTTCTAAAATATAATTAATTTATTTATAGGATCATAGAAGAAAAATCAGATGATTTTGATTTATAATAATATGCTATTGGCTATATCATCGAGATGTAATTCAATCAAATCATTATTTATATCTAGAGGTTATTTCCAAGGTTAAAACTATATGAAAATGTTCTTATTAGATTAATATTGAATTATAAAGCAAGAATTTATTTCTAGAGTAATCTTCACCTTTTGGTCTTGATAATTTCGTAAAAACAATTTGTGTTACAATAACTTGTAATAAATATCCAAGTGATGATTGAAGAGTTAATACAAGTATTCCACCCATACATTCAGTTGTAATATATCTTGAACCATAACCAATTGTATGTTGAGTTTCAATAGAAAAAAGTAATGCACTTAAAAAATTATGTACATCTTGTACACATTTTTCTCGTTCAGTTTTGGAATAATAACGTGTAGAATTTGTTTGATTATCTAATAAAGCTTGTTGTTCTTCATTTAAAACAAAATCTCCATGTTCAATTGAAACAAGAAAATAGAGAAATGCAAAAAAAAACCAACTTATGACAAAACCAAATAAAACAATTGTTAATACAATCCACCACTCAGATTTCATAATAAATAAAATTATATTTGAATGCATATTTTTTATATGTTCAATTGATGAATAATTTGTATTAATATGACCATTTTTATCAACAAAACGAAATTGATGATTGAATGGACTTTCAGGAATATGATTGTCAGTTATAGGTACAGATCGATATTTTGTTTTTGGACGTTTCATTCCATTCATTAGTTAAAAACTTGATAAATATTGTGTGAGAGATGAAGCGTAGACAAAATTATAAAAAAAACAACAAGTGATTTGCTAACTGTCAGTATTATGTTTGTACATCTGTTCGTCAAAGATATTATCTCCTACATTTACCTTGCTCATTTCTATACACCCCATAAATTTACCTTTTCTTTTTTTTATCCTACAATCGATTTTTCTTCTTTATAAATGACATGTGTACAGTGAAGAAAAAAAAGCAGATCATACACAAGTATTCATTCGACCTTACGTTCATTAATGGATATAAGTCACCTGATAGTTTTTTCTTATCACAAGTTATTCATAAATATGTTTTCAAAATCCTATATATAATATCATATGCTACTGCCATCTATGATAGTAAAAGATCTCTGATGGATAGTTTTTAACCAATAGTTAATTAAATAAATAAATATCATGTAATATGAATGGTCTACTATTTCCTTCAATCAAGGACATCCACTTGAATCCTCCAATAAAAATGATTGATAAGAAAAGGAATCAATCAAAATGAGGGTACATAAAGATACACATAAAGTTTACAATGGAGTTAACACATGCAACGATATATTCTGTTCTGTCACTTAAAGAAATAAACAAATATTTTCTTTTTTTTCATTTTTTTAAGATCTTTACATAAATATTTCTTCGTGTCTATTATTATATAAGAAAATTTTACTATGATCTATTAATATCAAACAAGAAAAAACTATCATGTCACCTAATAATCGTTTTCTATCACGTTTTTTTTCTCGTTTATCAACAACAAATACGAATAATCATCGATCTCAGCCACTTGTAAATGCAGAAGATGAAATTAATATTGATGAACAATCAACATCGGATGAACAAAATCTTGTTTCACAACCAGTAACAACAAGAATTCGTTCATCACCATCAATATTTAAACGATATGAACGAAACTATGCATCAGCATCATGCAGTATGTTTGCTATAGCTGCATTAGCTGTTAGTTTATCGGATTATCGTTGGTTCTGGTTAAATGGTGGTCTATGTAATTCCAAATATATTGGTTTAAGTATGTTTTTTGCTGTTGGAAAATTATTTGTTATACGAGTACCTGTACCATGGGATCCACAAGCACAAGTTAATGAAATTTATCAATTTAAACCTAACGATTATATGGGTATATATATATATTTGTAATTTGAATAAGATTGATTTAATTTTGCTTTCATTATAGAATTAATCGGTTGTGTAGATACGCACTCAATATTAATACTTCGTTTAATTATAACATTAATCTGTTTAGCGATATTTTCTTCGACTATCGGATTTTTATTAGATGCTCTTGGACCTATGAAATTTGGTTTGAAATTTATGAGACGTCATGCTTTTTGGCATATATTATCAGGTTTAATAAACTAATAAAAGTTTTTTTGTCTGATCAAATCTTTTTTTTGTTTAGTTCTTCTTTGTACAGTAGTAACCGGTTTATGTTTCTGGGCATCTGAATTAATCTATGATATTCAGGATAAAAATCGTTCAAAAATTGGAAAAAAAGTCGAAGTACAATTTGATGTTGCTTATTATCTAGTTGTGATTTCAAGTGGACTTTCATTATTAGCATCTGCTTTTGCACTTTTAAGACGATATCCAACAGCTGAAGAAGAACATTTAGATAGGTAAATTCTATAAAAAAAACAGATTTAATGTCATTTTTTTGTTTGATATTTATTTAGATTAATGGATGATTGGTCACGACGTGAAGAACCATTATTTATCGAACGTTCATTACCAGCTACGGTATCAACAATACCTACAAATGATGAACCACCACCAGAATATTCCGAACAGAATGTTATTGTAGTATGAACAAGTATTCTTCTTTTACTCTTTTTTCTTTTCAGAATCTCTCTTCTATTAAACAGTGATTATATCTACAATAACTTTTCTCATTATTTTATATTTGTATATTACTGTCTGAAATTTCTTCTCTTCTCTTCTCTTCTCTTCTCTTTCTTTTTGCTGTAATTACTTTATTACTTACACACTGTAGTTAATGGGAATAAATAAAGAAAAAAAAAGCAGTTAAAGACATGTTATAATGATTACATAATCATGTTACTAACAATAGTTTGCATTTTTTGTTCTGTAGATGATGACAATATCTTATCGAAGTATTAAGGTCATGTCTTAAATATAATTCCTTAACGATTATATTACACATCAAGTGCCTATGTGTCACTACTCATCATGGTTCTTTCTGAAAAACAAAAAAATGAACTGTAAGAATCGATTTTAATTCTAAAATTTTTCTTTTTCTTACAATATTAATTTTAGTAATCAAGCTATAGCTGATTATCTAGCGACAAATGGTTATACGATATCATTTAAAGAATTTTGTAAAGAAGCTAATTTAGTATGAAAAAAATTTTTGTTTATTTTATTTTTTTTCATAGAAAATTTATTTTGTTTTTAGTCCTCAAATGAAAGTGCCGAAAGAAAAGATCAATTGGAGAAAAAATGGACGTCAGTTATACGACTACAGAAAAAAGTAAAAAAAAACAAAAAGAATTTTTCGATTGATGTTTTTTCTTTTGACATAGGTCATGGATCTTGAAACAAAGTTACAAGAAGCTCTACAAGAAGCAACAACTGGTGGACCTACTCGAGAAAAACGACAACCTGGAGAATGGGTACCACGACCACCTGAAAAATTTGAACTAAAAGGTCATCGGGATACGGTGACACGTGTTGTCTTTCATCCAATTTTCGATATTTGTGCATCAGCGAGTGAAGATGCAACAATTAAAGTATATATATCCTTTAGATTAAATATTCTATTTTTTTATGGTTTATTAATAATAGATTTGGGATTATGAATCTGGAGAACATGAACGAACATTAAAAGGCCATACAGCACCGGTGCAAGATATTGCCTTTGATCATACAGGCAAATGGCTTGGTAAATTTTTCTTTAAAAAGAATATTATTCAAAATCTATTCTTTTAGTATCATGTTCTGCCGATATGAGTGTACGTTTATGGGATTTTCAAACATATCAATGTATAAAAACAATGCATGGTAATGAAATAAAGAAATAAATTCAATTAATTTCAAAAAATTTGATATTTGCTTTTGAATTTTAAGGTCATGATCATAATGTATCTTCGGTAACATTTACACCAAGTGGTGATCATATTATATCATGTAGTCGTGATAAAACAATTAAGATATGGGAGGTATCAACAACGTAAGTTTAGAATTTCATAAGAAATAATAATAATTAAAATAATGAATTTTTGTTATAGATTTTGTATAAAAACTCTTGTTGGACATCGAGAATGGGTACGTATGATACGTGTTTATCAAGATGGTACATTAATTGCCAGTTGTTCAGTCGATCATGTATGTTGATTGAAGTTTTGTTTTTTCATGATAGACTATTAATTTTAAAATTGCTAGACTGTACGTATTTGGTCGTTACCAAGTGGTGAGTGTAAAAGTGAATTACGTGGTCATGACAATGTAATTGAATGTATCGCTTGGGCACCGGATTCGGCTGGACCACATATATCCGAAACGGTTTCTAATGGTGGAACTGAGGTTATTATTTATTTCAATAAAAAACAAACAAAATGAATAATTCAATTTTTTTTTATTAGACACAAAAACGATCCGGTCCTTATCTTGTATCCGGTGCACGTGACAAGACAATCCGAATGTGGGACGCAATTAATGGTCTATGCTTATTTACACTAGTAAATTATATATAATATAATAAAAAATTTCCAAAAAAATTATGTTTATTTTAGACTGGCCATGATAATTGGGTTCGTGGTCTTCTTTTTCATCCAGGTGGAAAATATCTATTGAGTTGTTCTGATGATAAAACATTACGTGTATGGGATATTAAAAATAAACGAAATACAAAAACAATTGATGCTCATACTCATTTTTGTACTTCACTTGGTAAGCAAAGCAATCTTTTTTGAAATTTATTTTATTTATTTATTCTAGATATGCATCGAAATAAACCTTTTGTGATTACGGGTAGTGTTGATACATCAGTTAAAGTGTGGGAATGTCGTTAATATATTCTTTTTCAACAAGAACAATAATCACAGAAAAAGAAAACAAACTCAGCCAAATTATATCCTTTTCTTTCCAACTTTCATCCTTATCGATTTGTATTCCTTTACTTGTGTGATGGAAATGTCTTCTATTATTTATTTTCTTGTTCTTTCGTATGTATATGCTATTAATGCAATATCGTTTTTCTTCTTCTTTAGTCACATATACGCATATATATATATATATAAATATATATATAGAGATTTATGAGAGAACTAAAATAAAACATATTTAACTTTATTAGGAGACATAAAAAAGAAAAACTTTTTTTTTCCATGTATGAGCGAACAAAATATAAACAGAAACCTGCACACAAAATGCATTTGTTTTTTTTTCGTTGTTTTTACATAACTTTCTTTTTCTCTCTATTTTTGAAAAAAACTCGACATATGAGCAAGAAAAGAAAGAATAAAAAATACGTGTGAATGGATTACTTTATTTAGTTTTCTTCCCGCATTGCTTGTGTATGTCTGTTGATTTTACTTGTGTGTGTGCATTGTTTGTTTAGACTCGTGCTCTCTCTCTCTTCTTTTTTTGTTTGTGTGCGTTGATTGGTTATCTTTATTTCGTTTTTCTTTGCTCCTCTATTCACTTCTTTTTCGCTCAAATACAGTACAGAAGTTCGAAAAAAAAACAAACAATATCGACTAGATTCTATGCATACACATTAACAACATAAAAGGAAAATGTTAAATGAGATACATGAAAATGATTAGATTAATCTTTATGTAAAAGCCAAATACATGTTTGTCCAATGCCTGTCATTGACATAACACGATAACCAAGTATTTCAAGTTTGTCAAGGACAATACGTACACAATCATCTGTACGATATTCAGAACTAAAATATACAGATAAACATATTTAGTTTTCAGTCATACAAAAGACTAATGAATGATGTTCGTTGTAGGATACAAATATACTCTCATAAATTTAATATGTGATCATATAAAATACCCGATTTTGAAAAGATTTGTTGCACTCTCAAGTGACTCTTTGAAAAACCATTAAATGATTTTTAAAGCTATAACAAAACGATAAAACAGTATTAATACAAGAGCGATATTATCACAATAATAATAAATATTCATTTATTAAAATTTATAATGATGCCTCTAGGCGTTCATGTTATGAATAATGATTTGTTTTTATCATCGAACAAAAGATAGAAAGTTATTTAAATATATAATGAAGGAAAAAATAGAAAAATATTTTCTTATTCAACATAATTTTTCGATTAACTTACTAATTGTTACATTTTTCATGAAAAAGTTGTGCACCTAAATAAGCCATCAGTTCAGGATCTGTTTGTTCATCACCGAGAATAGTCGGACCTGATTCTAGACGAATTCTTGTACTAACAAGTATATGTGGCATTATCTAGAAAAAATGAAAATTTCTTACATATATATTTTATCTTAATGAATTGAAAAATGGAAATTTTGGTAAAATAGATTTTTCTTTTCGTAAAATTTCAACAATCTCTTTAAAACTGGCTCGATCTTTTGGAGTTAAAAGCCAACAATTAGACATTATTGCATAGATATTTGCTGGACATTTATCTGGACGTTTAAGACGTTCACCTAAATTATCAAAAAAAATTGGTTATAATAAAAACATAGTCAATTCTTACCTCGTTTTACAGCATCAATAACAAAATGATTATGTTGATAATGTGCATATGGTAATGCTGCTTTAGAAAAGATTTCCCATATAGTTATACCATAGGACCAAACATCAGATTTAATTGTATATGGTCCTTTAGATAAAACTTCTACAGCCCACCAACGTAAAGGAAATTCTTTTATCTGAGTAAAATATACATCATCTTCTTGAAGACAACGTGAAAGACCAAAATCAGCAACTTTAATTCGTCCATTTTTATCAACGAGACAATTTCGAGCTGCTAAATCTCTAAGAATACGATTTTATAATAAAAAAAATTTCATTTTCATCAATTACAATACCGATGAATGACATTACAACTTTCTAAATAAGCCATTCCTTTAGCTATTTCATAGCACATTTGAGTTAATTGTGATACACGTAATTCATTTGCTTTTAAATAATTACTCAAACTTCCTTCTATAAAAGACAATATATATATAGATAGATAGATTAAGCTATTTGATATTACGTTCAACAAGTTCCATAACAATCATAAGTGGCTCACGATATGCAGCAATACCAATAAACTGAACAATTCTTTTATGTTTAAAACGTTTGAGTAGAAGAGCTTCATTAATAAAATTTTGTCGATCTTCTGGACGTAATGGGCCATTTATTGAACGAAGTAATTTGACAGCAACGGGAGTACCACAATATTCACCACGAGTTACTTCGCCAAAATGACCCTTGTAAAAGAAAAATATCAACAAAAAACATTTATAATTATTCGAATTATGATTTTCTATTTTCAGTATTACAAAAACTATTTATTACCCCTTCATAAAAAGGTAAATTTCGATTTTTAAATTGTCTTTTATCTTACTGAGCCTAATGATGAATTAGAAAGTATAATATCACTATCATTAATAATATAATCTGGTCTTTCTATTGGTCGTATTAATCGTGTTCCATCATTTCGTAATTCTAATTTTTGTCGTGTATAATATGTAATTAATTTTGAAACTGTAGGTTTCATAACACTATTTTCTTGAAAATAATACATCTAATAAAATATGAAAGTAAGAATAAAAATCATTTTGTTATTTACGTACATTATTTTTTTCATAAATAAAAAAATGTCCATCTTTTAATTTATTTGTATCTGTTGGATCAATCCAAAAAATCGATAAAACGATTTTACCTTCATGATTCTTACGAACTAAATAATCTCCACGTTCAGTAAAAAGAGTAACACTTTGAGCACGTGGCATAATACCATGAAAATACATTTGATCTTCAAGTTTATCTGATAACTAAATCAAAAGATTGATTTTTAATAGTTGAAATCTTATTCTTACACTAGCTTGAGCTTCTTGATAAGGTAAATTATCACGTATAAATCCACAATCTTCTAATACATCATCTAGATCATTTTTTAATGTTTCTTCCCATGCCATTTTCATTTGTAAATTTTCTGCTTGTTGTTCTTGTTCAAATAAACTTTTTCGTCCATAATAAGTTCTATTAAATAAAAGAAATATTTTATTCGAAATAAACTAAGAATTAATTATAATCAACGTTTCTTTAGGTCGAAATTGATTTATAAGTTGAAGAATAGTTGATGATTCATTATTATTTCTATTTACACTTTCGGTTAACATTTGAATTCTACAAAAAAATTAATTTATAAATGAACATTTGTTTATTTTAATACTTTTTATCTAATGAATTAATTGTTGAATCATTTATTGTTGTATCATCAACAATAATTTGATTTTCTTTGAGATTTGTTAAACCAGATATTTGAAGTAATAAAGTATTAAATACAATAGGTTTTGTAGTTAATAATGGTATACTATAAAAAAATAATTCAATTTAATAGAAATGAAATCTAATACATACTTTGAATGTATTTGACATATATTATCATAACAATGACTTGGATCAATCGAACAAGATTCATTATTTGTCAATGAATTATGACGATCATAATTCATTATAGCTTCTAATAAACTTAACCTATTTTACATGTATACATATATAATTATATATAAATATTTTCAACTAACCATTGTCGATTAATAATCAAATTAATTTCTTCATGATAGGCAAGTAAACTCCGTACTTTACGAACATATTGTTCATCAATAAAATTATATTGTCGTACTGCAAGAACATATTCATTATGAGCTTGATATACATTATTTCGTTTTTCAATAACTGAACGTTTTATATTATTGATTCGATTACCATCATTCATTCCAGCACCTAAATGTGAATAAAGTAATCACGAGATTGTACTATGATGTGTTTTTATTATATAAGCACTAGATTATCTTGAAATTATACAATAGTATATATCTGTTTAATAATGCATAGACAATCACTGTGGTACTGCATTGATTTCTGACATGAATATTTTTTTTTCCTTAGATTTCTTATGAATCAAACTTACTGGCAACAGCTTTCGTTAATTCATTATTCTTTGTCACAAATGATTTTGCTTCATCTGAATAATGTTTTTCAGCTTCAGCTACATCGATTTCAGCCTAAAAATAAATCGAGATAAAAGACAACAATAATAAAAATGTTTTTTTTCGACTTTTCGATGTTCTAAGTCATATTGACGTTTTTGATCTGCAAGAAATTTTTTTGAATCCGATTTATATTCAAGAAGATTTTTTATTAAATCATCGAGTGCTAAATTTCGAAATTTATCAGCATTTGAATCAATTGTTGTTGCTTGACGAGACCATTGCATTAAAATTTCACGACAAGTCTATTACAATAGAAATAAATAAATCATTTACAATATTTTCTATTTTACAGATGCAATTAAATGTGGCTCTGTTGGCCACGCAATACGATCAGCTTTTGCTGTTAATTGTTGAAGATTTTCAGCATATTGTTTATCTAAATTGACTTTTTCTTCAAGAATTTTTTTTGTATCTTGAAGAAGTTTATATTCTTCACTTGAAACTGTGTTTAATATTCGATAACCTTCATCACTAGAAAAAAGTTTTGAAAATTGACTTAAATTTTCATTTGGTGATTTAGGTGATGATGGATGTTGATGATTTGGAATTATACGTTGTCTTGGTCCATTCATTGATATATGCTCACTTCCTTTGTTTTGGTTTATGACTTGTTGAAGAATTTATTATCTTATGCTCTTTTTTTTCTTCGTTTCTTATCAATAGAAGACAAGTAGGAGTAATTTTTTGTTTTGTATATGAATAAGACACACAACAAAATGTAAATGAATAAACTAAAAGAGATGTTAATCCATTCCAAACTATTACAGAGAGCATAGCTCAATAGAAAATGTGACCAAATTTACACAGATTCTATCTATTAAATTGCGCATAAATTAACGATACAAAAGTTACTAAAAAATATTGTAGTTCAAGTTTTAATAGAATATATAGTTTTACTTCTGTTAAATATTTTCTAAGATGATTGATTTGAAGAAAACAAAATGAGAAAACTCAAGCTGTTATCTGTTTAATAATAAATCGAAGGAAATGATTCAAGCGTTTTTTTTCTCCGTTATCAATGTGGGGCGTTTCTTTTATGCTCGTCTTTTTCTTTATATAATGGGTTTCTTTTGCATCATATTGAAAGACGTAGTACCATTATATTAAAGAAAAAGAAGACTTTTGAAATTATCATATAGATTATTTACTAATGATTAAATTAATTATGTTTGACTTTTACTGAATTATATTTTAAAAGTAAATCATGATATATATATATATATATATAGAAACAGATGTTTGATAGAGATAAGATATCAGATTCAATTATTCGGCTTTAATAAAGAATATCTATCTTATAAGTCTAAACTGATATCGATTTTTTTTATAGTCAACGAACTTTCTGTATAGGAAATATCGTCATAATAGTTCTACAGCAAATGTGATTTCATATTTTTTAGGACAAGACTGAATGCATTTGATGATGTAGATATCGATCATAAAATTAGATAAATCATTATCTCCTTGCGACTTTTTGGACATCATCACTAATATTAACGTTGTAAAATTTCGATAAAACTATTTTCTATAGTGCATATCAATAATATGAGTGCTAAATAAAATACATTGATTCACATAGATAGATTTATGTATTTAAATTCATCTTATAGAATCGTCCAAGATTCAGATGTATATTTTTAAGTTCTTATTTGAACTCTATAACATTGATATCAGTTGTAAAATAAATCATGACATATTTGAAACAGAAGAATATAATTCCGACCATCACGTACTATTGTAGTTATAACATGTTATTATTCAAATTTATTAGAAAAGCACCTTGACTTTTTTTTCAAACGTCAACGGGTATATAAAACAATGCCATCTGTATACAATATTAATAAATAATACTCAATGCCCTTCAAAAGAACTATATTAAAATTACGAATAGAAAATTGTAATAAAAAATCCACATCAATTATTTGTATATCTTATAACACAATTAATCCTATGTATAAATCGATTTTTCAATTACTTTATGAAAATATTTAATAAATTCTCTGTTGAGTTAGCCAAATCTTTAGTAAAATAAAGAATGTTTGATAAATCATATCAATTTTCATTGTCTTAAGAATAAAAAAAAAAACGAAATCCTTTTGAAAACAAAAACAATATTTCGTCAACATATCGTATGATTTTTACGAAGGTTTAAATTTTCATAAAGAAACCTATGAAAATTTCAGTTTCAATTCTTTATTTATGAATTAATTATTCAAGAAATAGATTTTTATATATATGAATACGATTCAACATATTTAAAAAAAATTAATTTGCATGAATAAGTTAGTTTGTTTGTCGAACGATCAAATTTCTTTTCTATTTTGCAAATAAATATCCCTTTGACTGATATTTGACCCGAACTCTCCTTCTTTTATTTTAGACATAAAAGAAAGAAGTACATTATACTTAACAACAAAATGTCCTTTAGCAATCAATCTTAACATATTGGAATAGTATACAATCCATTTAACATTTATTTTAATTGTTTTCATTTAAAATAAAACTTGTCATTAGACATTCTCTTTGTCTTTTGTATTTTCAGTTTTAATATTAACATTTATTATTTGAATACAAAAGAAAAATCCTAAATACATATATATGAACTTTAACATAGCATTTAAAAAAGACTAGAAACAGGTAAAAGACAAATGCTTTAATTTAAACTATCACATAAAATGTCAATGACGTTTTTCTTTTTTTTTTGTCATCACACATCAAAAAAAAATCAATAATTACTTCATTATAAATATTGAAACTGATTGAGGCTAATAATCTTTTTTTTTCTTCAATAATATTGACTCGTTTAGCTAATGACATAGACACTCGTACTGATTGACATTGAATTTTTAATATTAAGTAAAAACGATAATATAACAAATATTTATATCTGAAAAATTTATTGAAAATATTCACTGTCATCATCTTTGTATGAATAATTGATTTGTGAAGCTGTTCAAAATTTGCTTTTACTTCTCGAAAGAATAAAACCTTGATTTTTCTTCTATGCTTCAAAATAAAATGCAAATATAAATCGGCTTCTATAAGATTTCAATTATAAAATAACCTCTTTCTCTCTCTCGTATTGAGTATTACATTAACAATTTGATTATATCTAATGTTAAAATATAATTTATGAAGTAGGCTTATTTAAGTTTATCTTTTATTCTAATCATAATAATCTTTTGATATTTTATCATAAATGTTCACTTTAACTTGACAAGAGAACGAAAAGAAATGAACGAACAAAATGCAAAAAAAAATCATTTATCGAATCTGACATAAAAGTCAACTTATACTTTATCGTGTTCGAATGCATTAATTTAATTGTAGGAAAGACAACGATTGATTTGACAACGATATTCTCAATAGTCTACTGATGTCTATCACCTCTCTCTCTTCTTTTTTCCTTCTCATCAATACCGTACACTTGACATTAGAAAAATC